TGTGTTGTCATTCAGATGGGGCATGTATGTAGTTCTGGCCAGTGGCAACGAGTAGATGGAGACTGTCCAGTCTCTCCCAGTGCTATGCAGACTACATACCATGGATGCCATGCTGTGTTCCTGATGGCAGGTACAGGATGTGGAGCCTTATGTTAGACAGTCAGGACAGCAGTCACTGTAAACTGTTTTATTATATGGTGGTGCTTCTTACAAAATACACGCGCTTCACTATGTCATTATATTTAGAGGTCAATTTCTAGCCACTCACTGCAAAAACCAGCCCACTCTGGTTAGCAGGCAAACAACTTTAGCAAGTAAACGTTTCAAACATTGTCATTGGTGCTTTGCCCTACACACAGCAGTCCCTCAGTACTGAGCCCTTGTTTGTGGAAAGATGGGAGTATGTTTGGGGAAGGGCTCCTTTCCTCAAAGAGGCATGGTCAAATCTCCGGGGCCTTAGGGACACTATACACAGTAGCTATTAGTGCTGCAACCCTAAGCTTAGGTACTTAATCAAAAAGGAGAAGAAAGTTCAGTGCCCATCTGAGAGAAAAGACTCAAGAGTTGTTGCCAGTTGAAAAGATAGGTTTGTCACAGGGAACCAGTGTTCTTCCAGCTCTGAAGCCACAAAAATTAAACCCAGTTTAATCAGTTTAAATCCCGTAGGGAGCTGATATTACAAAGGCCCAAGCTGAGGGAACAGCTAACTTTGCAATCCCTGAGTCCATATTGGTGCATGGATGCTGGCAGATCAGATATTAGAATCACACAGATAGAGTAGTTCTGAGCCACGGGTTGGGGAAAAGATGTGACTTTATTAAAGTACATTCAACTGCTTAGCAAGTGGTCTGTTTCACGATGATTCTGACCCACAACACATTAGAATGAACATGACTTTGTTTCTTTTCAAAGTTATCTGATCCCTTTACTCCTAATTCCTATGCAATAGCTTCCTCACTCCTGGATCAAATTTGTTCATGGGCTCAGGTTCTGAGAACTGATTTTCACAAGGATTTACTTGGCCAGGGGCCACTTTTATCCTTTAAAACACTTAAGTTTTTTTAAGCAGAGCTGGAAAAGGACTGTGGATCCCAGAACATGGGTTTTCAGTCCGTGTACACAATTCACCAGGAATGAGGCAAAACGTTAACATTACTTCTTTCTTCACACTGGAAGGAGCTATGGCTCTCTAGACAGCATGACAAGAACAAACCAGGGATGTAGAGACATGCTGAGGATGCAGCTAAGCAGAGGACCACGCTGAGGCAGAAATCGACACTGACAATGGCTATGGCACCAGGAACTACAAATCAGTTAGTTTCCATGAAAAGTGGGCTTTAGGAGCATCATGAACAGGAGTCTTTCAGAAAAAGGCAGTGTATCTTGGAGTGCATTCTTTAAAAGTTAAGTTACAGTAAAAAAAAAAGTTGAACCAGAATTGAGGTAATCTTCTGAAATTACCCATCCACAAAAAAAAAAAAAAAAGGAGGTAGGAGTGGGATCAATCCCAAGATACCAGAGCAGGGAGACAAGTCAGGGAACAGCCTTTCTTTCTCCTCATAGCAAGAACAAGTGGGGTCAGATCCTCCGCTTCCATGGCTGACTTGTGAAAATGAGTTGATTGGCTACAGTAATGTATACATGTTAGTATTGATTTTGATGGATGATGCAGAGTATTATTTGCCAGAAATAGAAATCCAGGATATTCAGTACTTATGGGACATCATATTATCAATGGTTTGGTAAAAGGTTTTTTTTATACTGTACTTGGAACTTTTCTGCCCATTTATATGAGATACTTTCAAAATGAACCATAATGGGAAAAGTGGAATTAAGATTTCTACCTCACTCCCCCATGGTATAACCCCTGTTTTCACTGTATTTGATGTTGGTATAATTTGAGGGGAACGGAAAAAACAAAATGTTTAAATAGGGATACACATGGACCCATTGCAACAATGAGATGTACAAGTCACTACGTTGAAAAAAGAACTTTATAATTTAGGTGGGGGTGGGAGGGTGGGGGTGGGAGTGTAGCTGTGGAGGTGGGAGGGAAGGGATAGTAGGGCAAAAACAAAGGAGGAGGCAACAATGCTTGCTAAGAAATGTACTCATTACCTTGCTCATGTAACTGTTAACCCCTCTGTATTTTCACAATTAAAAAACTTATTAAAAAAAGATTTCTACCTCATAACACATGTCAGGATTTTTTTTTTTTGGTCAGTCTTGGGCATGAACTCAGGGCCTGAGCACTGTCCTTGCTCAAGGACAGTGCTCTAACACTTGAACTACAACTCCACTTCCATCTTTTGGGTGGTTAATTGAAGATAAGAGTCTCATGAATTTACTGCCCAGGCTGGCTTTCAACCATGATTCTTAGACCTCAGCCTTTTGAGTGGATAGGATTACAGGCATAAAGCTATCAGTGCCAGTTTGTAAAAATATCTTCAAGAAGAAATACTGAACTGAAAACTAGGAGCCATAAGCAGGTGGGGAAAGCCAGTGATGGACTGAGGTACCCACACCTTTTGCCCTTTGCAGGGCACCTGAAACCTCCTTGTCCTCATCTATACATAATACCATAGCTGAATCTTGAATTTGTGGGTTGACTGAAATGCCCCCAAACTAAGGTTGAAAAGTATTAAGTTGTCAGATTTTGTTTCCTTAAAGATGAAATTTTTAGGAGCTTTTTGTTTTCAAGAGGCATTAGTCTTATACATTTTAAAAGTTTTAACAGAAAATGCAGTTGTATTCCCTTTGAGACTTTTACATAAAACACGGTGCACTCTTCTTTTACAGCTTGGGAGGTGCACTCTTCTTTTACAGCTTGGGAGTCTCTCTGCATTCATCTATCTGCATTGTATGAGTGGCTTCAAGGTTCACAGTTATAATATGCATTCCTTACAGCCTTCAAGTGGTATTGAATTCAGGATTTAGTTCCTAAAGCTTTGGACCAATGCTTTCCTCAACAGGGCAACATTCTCTCACATCTAAGTTGAGTGGATATTGTCTAAAGGAAACATGTAGCTAGGGCTACAGCTCAGTGCTTGCCTAAAAAGTGCAAGGCTCTGGGTTTGATCCTCAGTGTCATAAAATGTATGTGTATGTATATATATATATATATATATATATATATATATATATATATATATATAATTAAGATTTTAGACACATGGTTGAGAGCATGTCTGATTAAAAATAATTAAACAAATGCTTACTACAATAAAAGTGAAAAAAGTCTTGCTTCCATATGCTCAGTACACTGCATGCACTGTAGGTTTTCCTACAGTCCTATGATGTTTCTCATTCACCTTTAAATACATGTGCCCAAGGCAAGTTTGGAAAGCAACACATGAAGTCTGTGAGGTCAAGCTGTGCTGAAAATAAGTGGACTATGAGGTGCCTGAGGTAACACAAGGACGCGTCTACATCCTTTTGTCATTAAGTAACCTCAGTCTTCCACTGCCAACACTTTTCTCCTTCGGTGAGTCCTTCTAATAACATTACCACCTTCAACAGCAAACTGTAAATACTACACAAATAACAAGACAGCAGCATTTCATCACAGTTTACAGGAGAAATAGATAAATTCATTTCTGCACTGAGCTATTTATAAAAGTCTGAATTAGAATGCTTAATTCTATCACAATCTTATGTAATATACACACAGTGTATGTTCTTCTTGCTACCTCACCATCCAGACTCCAGTACCTTGAATGTCAACACCCTCCCCCAACTCCCAGTTCTGTGTTTCGGGGTATTACTACATATTACACTATGAGGTGGTCTCAGGCACATAAAGAAAATCTGATTACTATCAGTGGTGAAACGGTTCTAGGACTTCTAGACGTGCTCTTTTGGCCTGTCCTTGCCCTTGTTAGAGCATCTGAGGATGGAGCATGGAGTCACCACATTCTCTCTAGAACCTGGCATTCCAGGGAATTCTGTAAGGATTCCAAGGGCAAAGCAACACCAGCGAGGACTGGGGCCTCACGGATGGTGTGTGAGCTGTTTGACCTAGGCTGATTCAAGGCCAGGACTTCCTCTAACTATTGCAATTATATCAATAAAAAGTTTGTTGATTAAGTCACTTTAAATCAGGTTTCTGTCATGTACCACTTAAATTCCTAATTAATAAAATATGTAAATACCCTTTCTTGCTTGAGAAAGCTTAATTTCAAGTGACAACCTCATAAATACTTTTAAATAAATATATAGATATGATCACCTAGTGACTTTGTGATCTGAGCACTTTACCATATGATGCTATTCTTCAGTGAATGGTGGCACATGCCTGTAATTCTAGCACTCAGGAGGCTGAGGTAGGAAGGTTGTGAGTTTGAAGCCAGCCCGGTCTATACAGAAAGACCTTATCTCAAAAGAAAAAAAAAAAATGTTGCTACATATGTTAAGTAACCAATAGGCAAAATCACATAATTTTTAAATAAAATACTTTATAGAAATATTTCCTCAAATTAGAGTCTCAGGCTCCTTATATCCAGGAAGCAAATACTATTTTTTTATTTTAGATTCATTTTTATTTTGACATTCAGATTTTTAATCCAATAAATGGCCCCATGGCATATTTTCATTGCATCCTTTTGTGTAGGCAAGTACTTTTAAAATAAGTAAACCTTAGGGTTTGTCATTAAACTTTGAAGAAAAATACAAGTCTTTCTCCTAGGAACCACATTCTGTAATGTATATAAGCTAGAGATACAGTCATCATATAAATGATTCTGAAAGTTTTGTGCTAACATGAAAAGCAACTTATAGCTAGAAATAGGTAAGACTAAACTAGATTCACTGTTAGAATAAAAATTTTAAAATCATGTAAAAGAGACAGGAAGCTCAGGTGAAAACAATCCCACAGAAGTCCCAACTTGTATTTAGTGACAGTGATGGACCAAATTGTAAATGTGTAAGAAACAAAATAACAGTGTGAATTCTGTTCAAACTAAGGCATTTGATTAACTAACTTTTCAACTTAAGTGCTCTGGTTACTAAAGAGACAGCTTCCATAATTCCAAATTATGCTTTCAAAAATGACTTGATGGACAAAGGCATTTTTATGCTCAACACAGAATATCTTTATTATAACCTTCAGAAAGTCTGTTCCTAGAGTTAACAAAAAAAAAAAGTGCCCAGGCCAACCATCGCCTACTCCAAAAGCCCAATTCAGTTACCTTCCCGTAAAACATATGCAGAACAGTCGAATGAAAAGAGAAACCTGCAAATATTGTGTGGTTTGACTGCAGTCCATTTCATGATGATTTAAATGGCCTTCTAGTATCATTTCTGATGCTTTCCATAAGTTTCAGCAAATAAATTCACTTACTACCATTCCAAAGAGAAAGATTCATCTTAAATGAAAGTGCAGTATTAGCCCTTCTTTGTCAGTTGGCAACTTGAAATTTTTCCAGGAGTGATTATGAACACTTCTTGGCAGCTAACTATAGCTTTAACTTTGTCATGTAAAAATAAATATATCAGCTGCACATTGTTTCCTAATTGCATAATTGGATTCCTTAAAAACAAAACAACAGCAACACAACAAACCCAGCCATTCACTACTCCACTGCATTTGGAAGCATGGTAGAAATTTTGGTTCATCATTCTTTTATCTGCAAAGAAAAAAAATATTTTCTGTAATTTAACCACACTTGCAAGAAAAGAACAAAAAGACTAGGAGTAAAATACTTCTAGCAAGTAGAAATTTTCATACAATTTTGTCCTCCCTTCCCTAGCCAAGCAGTTTATAAGATTTTCTGCAATCTCTCTATTATTCTCCACAAGAAACTCCACTACAGAATGCTCTTTTATAAAAAAAAAAAATGCCTTGATAGATTAAACCTGATGCTGATGATAAGGCTGCTAAGCAGGTTTACTGAGGAGAGGGCTGATCACTGTGCCAAGTGTTTTGTGTGGCCCTTCTCATTTCACAGCAATTCTAATTACCCACTTATAAATAAATAAGTCAAGGACCCCCTTTACAGATAATTCAATTGAAGAAGAAATTCTTGTACTAGCTACAAGTCAGTGAAGCAAGAACACAAACAGCTCAGCTCTGGTCCAACCTTCTCTCTCCCACTGAATTCCATAAATATTTTATATAAATAATGATATTTAAACTTTTGGAAGGAATACTTAAGATTCTTCCATTAAATAAAATCAACACTCCCCAATTCATATGATTCTTAGTATCTACACTTTCATATTGTGAGTGTGTACTAGTCCTGGGGCTTGAACTCAGGGCCTGGGCACTTACTGTCTGTGAGCATTTTTTGTTCAAGGCCTAGTACGCTCTACTATTTAAGCCACAGCTCCACTTCCAGCTTTTTGGTAGTTAACTGGAAATAAGTGTCTCACAAACTTTCCTGCCCAGGCTGGCTTCAAACCACTATCCTCAGATCTTAGCCTCCAGAGTAGTTAGAATTACAGGTTTGAGCCACTGGCACCTGACAGAACTATTCTACTATTCTTATAGACCTTATAGATTCTCATATATTTCCTATGTGACAAAATATCTTCTGATCAGTCTTTTAACTTGTTAATATTAATTTTAATTTCCTGTCCTAATAACATTCTTGTGCTTTCCTTTAGTTATATAGTATCAGCCATCATCCTTAAAAAATCATCATTCTTAAAAAGAGAGAATATAACTATAAAAAAAGACTCAGTCACTTCAAAATACCTCAGTGACAACACCAGCAGCAATTGTAGAACCGCTGTAACGCAGCATGAACCTCCCCAGCTCCTTGAAGTCTTTGTAAAGCTCAAGGGCTACTGGTCTTTGTGTTTGTAGCTCCACCAATGCATTCTGGCCTTTAGTCAATAACCTAGAAAGGGGGGAAAGGTACAAATACTGTCAAGCTGAATGATGTACTAACAATAACCTGAAAAGCGAATACTTTATATTTAGTCAATAAATGTTATCTTCTGAAAACTGAAAAATGCTGTTTTTTAAATATGAAAACAAATGCCTTTTGAGTCCTTTTGACTTAAAAGAAATGCAGAGTAATTCATAAATTAAAAAATATTAGATACTTAATGTTTATATTCTAATCTTTCAAACACAAGTTCTACTGGAACCTAAAATGCTCAACACCCATCCTGATAAATATACTTTATTCCCTAAAGAAATCACAATGTTCAATTATCTAATAAAGGTAACTGCTGGGTAGCAGTGGCTCAGGTCTACAATCCTAGCTACTCAGGAGGCTGAAACCTAAAGGATCAAGGTTCAAAACCTGGGTAAAAATGTCTGTGAGACTGCATATCCAACTAATCAGCAAAAATCCAGGCTGGAGGCATCATGTTTTAGGTGGTAGAGAGCTTGCCATGAGCGAGCAAGCTGAAGGAGCTTTCATCCCCTAAATCAAGGGAGGGGACAGGAGGGCAGGGGACAGGAGGAGCGGGGAGAGGTAGGGAGGAAAGGACAGGGAAGGGGAGGACAGAGGAGAGGGAATGAAAATACTAATCCTTGAAGTATTTTAAAAGAGGAATATAAGGCCTGAGTCTTTTGCAGTAAAACCGTTCTGTTGTGGCACTGCTTTTGAGACAGGCTCTTACTCTCACCTCAGGCTGGCCTCCAACTTTCAATCCTCTTGCTTGTACCCCAACAAGTACTAGAAGTACAGGCATGTACCACCACGCCTAGCACAACTAAAATTCAAATTTTTTATTAATAAGTTTTTTATTGTGAAAATACCGTACAGAGGGCTTACAATTACATGAGCAAGGTAATGAATAATTTCTCATCAAGCATTGTTGCCTCCTCCTTTGTTTCCCCTTACCATCCCTGCCCCCCATCAAAGCTGTAAAGTTCCTTTCTCAACATAATGTCTTGTACATCTCATTGTTGCAATGGGTCCACCTGTATCCCTAAACAATTTGTTTTTTCCCTTCCCCTCCCCAAATTATATCAACATCAAATACAGTGAAAACAGGGGTATTACCATGAGGGAGGGACATACAAAGCAACAAAGAAATCATCTTATAAATATGTTAGAAACAATAGCAAGAGAGAAAAACCATTTGAGACCTTACCTTGGGGTTCATTTCACCTAACATCATCTTATCTGACAGTTTCTGCTTGTCTCAGACATATACTAGTTATTGCAAATAAGGGAAATCATGGGACCTATGTTTCTTTGGGCCTGGCTAACTTCACTTAATATAATTTTTTCCAAGTCTTTCCATTTCCTAACAAATGGGGCAATGTCATTCTTTCTGATGGAGGCATAGAATTCCATTGTGTATATATACCACATTTTCTTGATCCATTCATCTACTGAGGGGCATCTGGTTTGGTGCCATATCTTAGCTATGGTAAATAATGCTGCAATAAACATAGTTGTGCTGGTAGCTTTAGTATGGTCTTGTTAGTGATCATTCAGGTAAATGCCCAAAAGTGGGATTGCTGGGTCATAGGAGAGCTCTATGTGGAGTTTGTTGAGGAATCTCCATACTACTTTCCAAAGTGGTTGAACAATCTCACACTCCCACCAACAATGCAGTAAGGTTCCCTTCTGTCAACATCCCCTCCAGCATCTGTTGTTATTAGGGTTCTTGATTATAGCCATCCTAACTGGGGTGAGGTGGTACCTCAGTGTTGTTTTAATTTGCATATCTTTTATGGCTAGAGAGGTTGAGCATTTCTTCATGTGTCTATTGGCCATCCTTTTGCCCACTTCAGAGAATTTTGAAATTGTGTGTAGGAAGCTATCTTTATTGTTGTGGTTTTTTTGTTGTTTTGGTCAGTCGTGGGGCTTGAACTCTGGGCTTGGGAGCTGTCCCTGCACTCTTCAGCTCAATGCCAGCATTCTACTACTTGAGCCCCTACTTCCCGTTTTCTGATGGTTAATTGGAGATAAGAGTCTCATGGACTCTCCTGCCAGGGCTGGCTTTGACCTTCGATCCTCTGATCTCAGTCTCCTGAGTAGCTAGGATTATAGCCACTGACACCCGGCTCCTTATTGTTTTTGATTTGTGTTGATTTGTTATTTAACCCAAACCTTGTTTATGAGAAACACAGGCTCTGCCACTGAACTATAGACCCCGCCCAGTCTGAGAAATCTCTACATAAGTGCTCAGAATACTCTAAATCAGAGAAATCTCTACATAAGTACTGAGATTACTCATATATATATATATATATATATATATATATATATTCTTTTTTTTGGGTCAGTCTTGGGGCTTGAACTCTGGGCCTGGGCACTGTCCCTCAGCTGTTCAGCTCAAGGCAAGTGCTCTACTGCTTAAGCCACAGTGCCACTTCCTGTTTTCTGGTGGTTTATTGGAGATGAGAGTTTCATGGACTTTCCTGCTCGGGCTGGCTTTGAACCATGATCCTCAGATCTCAGCCTCCTGAGTAGCTAGCATTACAGGTGTGAGCCACTGATGCCCAGCTATATATACTCTTATATATTATATTTCCTTATGGGAAATGAAGATTGATAGGCCAAGGCCAAACCACAAGTGGTTCCAAACAAAATCCCCATTCATGGGCTGCATTTTAATTTCATTTTGGTGTTCTCTAAAAAGAGAACATAAACTACCCTTTTTAAGATGAGTTCAGGGACAGACCAACTAAAACAAACAAGTTCTTCAAAAAATAAAATACATGAACATCTTCAAATACAGGCTTTAGATTATTTCAGTCCTATGTTTAGGAAGAGGATAATCAAATCTGTTCATGACTTATGTTTAATTTAATTTCTACAAAGTTCAATTCCATTCTGTGTACCACAGTTGGGTATAGAGCGTACATGATCTGAAATGAAGGAAAAAGGTCAAGCAGTGTTGGTATGAAATAAGAGAAAAGGATAGGATACAGATAGATGATAGGAAAACCTATTGGAGAACATCTTCAACCCTAGGATTCTTGGGCGAGGATTTCCTAGCTGCTATAGACAGGGGGAAAATCAAGAGTAGACACAATGTAGCAACTCCAATAGAAAGTTTTCCTATTTTCTAGGTCAAACAACCTAGCTTTTGTATAAATTTTATATGAACCAAAGAAGTTAAAATCCTGCCTCTGCCACTTGTAAGGTTTCTACATCATGAGAGAGCCAATTCAAGAGAGCTGTTCATCTTAAGAGTTCTATTACTTACCTGAGAACATTATGGCAACCACATATGCTAGAAACTTTCACAGACTCCTCCCAAAAAGAACCACCTTCAAGACAGAGGTAGAGCAGCTGCCCCTTCTAAGAAGCAAGACTGGGTTTCTAAGTGTGAAGCATCTCTTCTCTACCTGCAGCTTGGTCCACTACCCAACTAACCATGCTGGGCAGTGGCTTAGCAGGTGCACTTTGGTAGCATTCAAAGACAAAAAAAGGGGGTTTTGGGTGGGTTTCCCCACAGGGCTGAAGTTGAGGAAAACCCCACAGCAGAAGCAGCCAAGCCAAACTGAGATAGCCTTCAGCTTAATTGGACTAAGACACCTGTATTTTGTAAGATCTGTGACTAGCTTTTGTATTTTCTGGTTCCAATGCACTTAAGTTTCTCAGGAAGTTATTTCCTTCGAAAAGTCCCAGTATTGTCTCAGCAAAAGGAGAACTGTCCACACTCTGTCCTGGATACTAAATGATAATCAAAGAAGTCAAATGGTAATCATCAAAATGGTGATCAAAAAGGCTCTTGTGGACTAAAAACAAAAAAGAAAATACTTTCCAGAAGAGAAAAAGGCTAAAGAACATGTACATGATTGTGTTCCAAGCCAAGAGAATGAACTCATTAAGCTGGTTACAGGAAGTCAAGAAAGCCTAAAATTCAGATGTGAAACCAAAGGGAAGACATAATTCAAATTCATCTTATACAGCTAGTTTCTGAAATTTCTTTATTCTATATAGCATCAGTATTTAGGGCTCGATAAATACACATATATACATATACCTGAAATTTATAGCTAACCAGGGGCTTAAGTGTTCTATTTTTAGGTTTGTTTTAATTCAGCCATAAAAAATAATTTGTGGAACAAGTAAAAGCAGATTTCACTTACCTGAAAACCTATACATATGAGCTTATCTATAAGCAATTTGCTTACATTGCTAGTGTTTACAATTTCTGCATTAACACACTCACTTAGGCTTTTTCTTCATGACTTCACCCGTGCTTTTGCTTAAGACACTAATCAGTCGTTTAATAACAGCAGGTTCACTGACAGTCTGGTAGTGTAACAGCACCTAAAACAAATAATTGCAACACTGAATAATTGCTTAACATGGTAATGCCTGTCCCTACATGCACAGTGTAAACTTTAGCAAACTGCATAATCTTTCTGTCTTTTTCCTTTGGAACAGTGAGGATAACAACACCTTGATGTTGTCATAAAAATTTTAGCATTTAGAATAATCAGGTACAGTGGCATGCAATCTCTCTGTACCTCAGTTTCATCAGCTAGACCACAGGAAGGCTTTAATTGCATTGTGCAAAGAATCAAACAGGTTGAGGAGATGCCTGGCATACATGCTCAATACCTATGGAAGGTTCCATCCTAAAAAGAAGGCACGTCATATTCAACGGCAATTCATGTGCTTATTGTTGGGTAATGAACATAAACTATTTATAGAGAAAAGGAAGAAAAATAGCATTTTAAACTCCCCTAAATACCAAGCAGTGTGATTCAATCTTGTTTGTATGGGTGTTTAGATAGGCACTGAAATCCATCAGATATGAGTTCAAATCACTATCATCATGGCAAGCACTAAGTTTTCTCCCTGCAAAATTCCCATCCTCAGGTTCCTTATACTGAAATGAGGAAAATCAGAATATGTTATTTTAAGTAGTGCCTGGCACATGGAAAATGTTCAGTTAGTTAGATAACTTAATTTACATACCAGCTATCACTGTCCATTGTTTGACATGCATGGAAAATATTTTAAAAGTTTTGCAATGTAATGTGGCCATACAGCTATCTGTCGGAGCTAAGTTAGCTAACGACTACTTATGTTTGACATATAAGGGAATGATACCAAAAAGATAACGTAATTTAATGTGGCCATGGCATTTTACCTCACTTAGATCAGCTGGAACTACAAATCTCAAGAGTTCTCCCTATTTCAGCTTACTAAAGGACTTGTAGAAATCACATAAAAGGTCTGTACAGATCCTAATCCATAGCAGAAGAATACAGGATGACTAGACTACCCTTATTTGAATAATAAACTTTAAGTGGACAAGCCAGGAACACCGGGAGTTCCTTTGTCATATCTGAGTTACAGTCTATACTCTAGCTACAGTGAAAAGACTCAATTCCCAGGAAGTAATAAAGCTATCAAATTTTAATTGGTTTGTAAATACCACTTTTACGCTGTTTTGTTATACAGACACAGACACTTCAGAGCTAGAATTTCCTATTCAAAATATAGTTTTCCTATTCAGAAAACAGAAATGCAGGTTTAGTGATATAATAACCCTTGCCTAGCATGGCTGAAGGCTCTGAGTTTCATTTCCAACACTACAGACAAAAATCAATGAAAGAAAGTAGAAATACAAGAGAGATGGTAGATACATAATCCTAAAAACATTGGGAAGTCATTAAAAATCAAGTCACAAAGTAAAAAACAAGGTAAATTAGTAAATTTACTTCTTAAAAGTTTACTTTGTAAAAAGCTAAGTCAAAGAAAATAAAGGTAAATTTGAAAATTAGGATTAGATTTAATTTCTCTGTCTCCACAGCATCTTACAAAATTGTAAGTGAACAAAATGCTTGTTAAATACAAGTAAAAGAACCTATATACAAGACAAATGATTGTACAATATTTTAATTCAAATTATATAGCTCAAACCATAATTCAAACCAATCTGTACCAGAGTGTAACGGAGGGAAAAAATACTGCATTTCATAATGAAAGTGCTTAACCACTCACTATTCATGGTCATGACCTCTCAAGAGTGCCCAGATCATCTTCTGTGAATGCCGACAACAGTAACACAGTTCCACAGTTTCCTTTATCTACATTTCCCAAATCCCAGAAGACTGATAAAAGTTGCTTTTCCAAAGTCGGTTATGAACCTACTTAAATAGCAAAACTATACTTGAAGTAAAACAATTTATACTCCTGTGTATCACATACAGTATGAATATTGACAAAGTATGACAGGGAATATTAATGTTTCCTTATAGGGTGTTCCAGTATTGGCCAACCACATGTTAGAATTTTATACAATATACACAATGACATTTATGTTTCTAAAATCCTACCATTACTGAATTCTAAAACATATAGACCTGAAGGGCTTCAGATTAGAACTTTACTTTATGTGATTTTTTAAGAATCAAATTATCTAGTGTTCTATAAACTGTATTATGATATTAACTGATAAATAATTATTTTCCTTAAATTCTAAGAAACCTACATTTAAAATATATTAAGGACTATATGGTCATTTTCCTTTCAAAGGAGTGCCAAGATCATTAGGGAATGGACAGTTTTTTCAACAAATGGTGTTGAAAAAACTAGATATCCACATGGAAAAGAATGAAGATGAAGTATTATTTACTACCATATACAAAACTTAACTGAAGGTCAGAGTCTGGGGGAAGGAGAGGCAGACATCATGTCCAGTTGTGAAGACACAAATCCCTGAAACAGCCCAAGAAACAGTTCAAGGAAATAGAAAGACAATGCTTTCAAACAGAAATAGAGGTGTGTGGGGGAAAGAGCAGAAAAAAAACTTAAAAAGAGGCCAGGCACAGGTGGCTCATGCCTGCAATCCTAGCTACGCAGGAGGGTGAAATCTGAGGATTGTGGTAGTTTGAAACAAGCCTGGGCATAAAAGTCCATGAGACTCTTATCTCCAATAAACTGCTCAGGAAAAACCAGAAGTAGCACTGTGGCTCAAGTAGTAGAACAATAGCCTTGAGCAAAAGCAGCTCAGGAGCGGCACCCAGGCCAAGTTCAAGCCCCAGCACAAGAAAAGTGTAGTTGTAGAGGTGGGAAGGAAGGGATGGTAGGGAAAAACAAAGGAGGCAACAATGCTTGATAAGAAATGTACTCATTACCTTGCTCATGGAACTGTAACCCCTCTGTACAGTATTTTCACAATAAAAAAACTTACTAAAACAAAAAGATTAAAAAAGAAGGCTTTTGAGAAGGGACCCTGGCTACAAGTGGAATTAAGAAATCTGTCCCTTGTGACTCAGATAATGCCTACCCTTGATTCCATTTCTATTTAAACATCTGAATTCCCTGTCATAATCTTTTGTCATTCTACAGGTAGAATAAGTGTTGTTTAGAAATCTAAACATAAACAAGAAAACAACTAAGAATAAATATTTATATTTGAAAAATTGAACTCCAAAAATGGGTAAATTACCTAAAATGTTTAAAATATAACTGTAAAACATATAGAACAAAGTATAGAACAGAAAACTTCATGATACGGTACTTGGCAAGGCTTTCTCAGCTATGGCACCAAACGCATAAGGAACATAAGAAAAACAAATTTTCTTCAAAATACATAACACTATTGAGAAAAAGAAGACAACCCAAAGAATAAACAATATTTTTGAATTCTATATCTGATAAAGGGTTAATACTCAGAACAAATAAAGAATTACTATAACAACAGACACACACACACACACACACACACACACACACACGCACGCACACAATTCTAATTCAAAAATGAGGCAAGAATGTCAATTGACATTTCCCCAAAGATACACAAATGGCTAATAAGTACATAGTAGCTCACTATCACTAATCATTACAGAAATGCAAATAAAAACCACAATGGGCAATTACTGTTGAATGCATACAGATTTTTACTTTGAAATAATAAAAAACTAGAGATAGAAATTAGTGATACCCATATAACATTGTGAATGCATTTCATGCCATGGAATTACGCTGAATCTCATGGCCAAAATGGCAAATTCTGTTATGTACAGTTTAGTAAATTAGAAAAGAAATCAAACAGGAATTCAGCTCAAGTCTAATGTATTCTCGTTTTCTCTCTTAAACCATTTTTAAAAAGGGCAATTTATGCAGCACTGAGGAAATTGTGTCTAGACAATAAATATTAGGAAATATTTTTTTGCTTAAAAATATTTTTTCTGAAAAATTTTCCCCATAGAGTATGATTTTTTTTCTGATCAAATTTCATTCTGGTTTTTGTGACTCAATATACAAATGTCAAATCTCAAAACAATGCCAACACTTTCAGTTCATGCTTATTTTTTTAAATTTGTAACCAAGAAGACATTATTGCTATTCAAAGTAACTACTGACGACCTCTTGACCTCTCCACCTCTCCATTGGCAAATACAATTTGGATGAGTAAGATCATGCTGTAACCAACCTCTCCACCTTCCCCACACAGGACATTTTGATTTCTATGAATGAGTTCAATTCTACCAAAAGCCATCAAGTTGTAGTTACTTGCCGATTGACAGTATAAATTTTTAACAGTTAAAAATTACATATTCTCGGGCTGAGGATGTGGCTCAGTGGTAGAGCTCTTGCCTTGCATGCCTGAGGCCCTGGGTTCGATTCCTCAGCACCACATAAGCAAAAAGAAAAAAAAAAAGCTGGAAGTGGCGCTGTGGCTCAAGTGGTAGAGCGCTAGCCTTGAGCTGAAGAGCTGAGGGACAGCACCCAGGCCCAGAGTTCAGGCCCCATGACTGGACTCCCCAAAAAAATTACATATTCTCAACTATAATTATTTGGTGAGACACTTTTATTCCTTTTTTGTGTACAAAAGAAATTTTACAGAATTATTGAGGTACTTGAGCAGTATTCTACAAATACAGTTTTACATAACCAAATTTATAAAGAAACAAAGAATTAAAGCAAGGTCCATAATTATCTCAAATGAAAATGTATAATTATAAGATGAATTTACATGAGATAAATAGTTTATTCCCAACCTCTAAAACATTCATTAGTTTCAAAAAGTTGGAAATTCAGTCATATGATGATCTTTTTTTTTTTTTTTTGGTTTGTCATGGGGCTTGAACTCTGGGCCTGGGCGCTGTCCCTCAGCTCTTCAGCCCAAGGCTAGTGCTCTACCACTTGAGTCACAGCACCACTTCTAAAGTTCAATCATTACTGTCTTAATTTCATTCACTTGAAACACATTAAGCATTAAATACTGCAAATAATCCATTTATATTTTCAAATACAAATTTTTCATTGTTACATATAACCTATACAACATGAGCTATTGATAAATAAAAACCTAACAAGAAAATATTTAAGTTACAATAGCAAAGTATGAAACTACAGAGTACAGTATTAAATCTATGAAAAAATAAACATAAAAGAGAAATTCAGAGTATTCACAAGCAATATTTTTCCTGTATAAATAAATGTATGAGATAAAAATCCTCTTTTCATATAAAACATGTGTCTTTAATTAATGTTGGTCAGTGTTAATATAACATGCAAGGTGTTCCTTTAGCACAATTAAAATTTACCATTTATCAAGCAATCATCAGTATATACATAATTTGCACACTACTGGGCAGATAATATGAGTATAAAATACACTGAAACATGAGTACAAGTATCCACTGATTATGCAATTAGGAAACACTATTTCCTAGATGTTTGAAGTTTCCAAAAGTTTCTAAAATCATCTATCACTTATAATCAGAAACACTACAAATAAGCATAGTAAGCAAAATAGAAAACTTGAAAGACCCAAATTTAAAACACTGGATAAAATCGAAAACACAGAAAAAGCCTATCTCCTTTTCCTCTAATACATTTTATTATCACAGATTTTATCTGGTTGACTATGACATGCTTTCTCAATTCTACTGAAAAAAGCCCTTAGGCTTGAGAATTAAAATAAAAACCAACTAAACTAAATGACTTGCAAATTCTACCTTTATGATTTTATAGATTAGAATGAGATTATTTAGAATAAATATGCCTAACACATCTAAAATTAAGTTATTACTTTTTTGGGTAAGATTAAACTTATAAAGGCAAAAACAATATAACACTTTGAAACTTACAGGAAATCCTTTAGTGATAGGAACTTCAATATTAAAGATGAGGATTCGGGCTCTAAAACGAGTACAAGCTTTAATGGGTTCTTTGGGGCCACAAAATATGCAGCCAACACTGTAACAACAACAACAACAACAAAATGAAGGCAGGTAGATTAGGGATAAATATATTTACATTCATTGCAAATCTCTCTGCAACTACTTGTAAAGAAATAAAAACAATGAAGCATATTAGACCCTTTTGTTAATTACTCCCTCTGAGTTAAAGCACTGCTTTATACTTTACAGCTTTCATTCAAAGAAAATTTGACAGTGTTAATTTCAATTTTAAGGACAATTTGCTAATACTACTCCAAATGTCTATTTTTGGCCAAATAAGATCCAAAATTGAGCTGGTAGGCTGTAAAATTCAAGTGTTTTCAAATCCCAAAACAATTGTTGCTTAAACTCATTTTCTTACTCACTTGATTTTGATGATATCCATCCCAACCAAAGTAAGACTAACATGATCGCCTGCCGCTGCCCAATCGACGGGTTCATCATGAAGAGTGATTCCTGGAAATGAGTAAAAACCAAAGCATACGGTGAAACACCAAACCATAACAACCAAGAGAGCTTGGCTGGTTTGTGCTTCATCAGTCTCTACTCATCATTTTCAATTTGAATGGCCTGAGAGTGAGAAATGTAACTGTGAGCGTTGAGGAAAACACACTTCCGTTAAGACTTGACTCTTCCAGATCACCCCCTAAACAGAAAGTGACTTGCATTTGACCATAAAAAGGCAGACTTCTTCTCATTAATCACCTATTTTAAACTCATTTATACAATCAAATGATGATCCATAAACAGGCCCTATTCAACCTTTACTGTGATATTAATGGATTCAGGCACAAAGAAATAGTTCAAATTGAATATTTCATTATATTAGCTTTACTTCAATGTTCTGTGTTGTTGTTACTTGGATTTTTTTTTAGTTTTGAGGTTTTGTTAGTTTTGTGAGACTCTGTCTTAGAAATATTTATCCAACCAGAAGTGGTGGTGCACACCTGTAATCCCAGCACTCAGGATGTTAATCAGGACAGGAGATAAAAATTCAAAGTCACTCTCAGGCACATAGTAAAAGACTCTGTCTCCAAAAAAAGCTTGTCAAATAAAAACTAATTAAATTTAATTATAAAATACAAATTATAATGAATACAATTATAAAATATAAAATTAAAATGATCATATCTGGTTCTTCTTTGCCCTAAGAATGTTACACTGCTGTCTCATATTTGTCTTCCTAAAAACTTTGAGGTCCTTCCCCACTACTCTATGTACTTAATATGTTAATAAAAAAATGATTTGGAATTTCTACTTGGTATTAGCAGGTTTACTCAAACCTCATTTTTTAAAGATTGTAGTTAAGAGCATCTCAGTAGCAGCTTAAATATTCAGAGAGAAATGTGCATAGAACACTCCAACAAACTAAGCAAAAGCAATCTGGTGAGAAGTGAAGGCTGAGAACCTGAACCTCCCTGCATTAGAAGAGAAGCTCTCAGGCAGGGCATTCTCCCCACTGCTTCCACCCAAGCTTCCCTTTAAAGAACACTAATGAGAGGTAATACCTGGAGTGCTCTGTGAAGAAGGGACAGAGAAAAGAGAAGAAAAGGATATGAAACTTCAGCAGTGACTAGATGAGCATTTAAGAAGTCACAGGGAACCTGTCTTAAACTCTGTGATGATTTTAAGATTATGTTCTAGGGGCTGGGAAGTTGGCTCAGTGGTAGAGCGCTTGCCTTGTATGCCTGAGGCCCTGGGTTCGATTCCTCAGCACCACATAAGAAAAAAGCCGGAAGTGGCGCTGTGGCTCAAGTGGTAGAGCGCTAGCCTTGAGCTGAAGAGCTGAGGGACAGCGCTCAGGCTCAGAGTTCAGGCCCCACAACCGGACCCAAAAAAAAAAAAAAAAAGATTATGTTCTATTATGTGTTATAAGAAAATTCTTATTTTCAAAAAATGTATTAACACTTAGGAGACTAGTATTTCAAAAGGACTGTAGCTCTTAATCACTTTTTTAAAGTGATTGCAGACTCACACCTGCAATCCCAGCTGCTCAGAAGGCTGAGATCTGAAGACTGAGGTTTGAACCCAGACTGAGGAAGAAATTCCATGATACTCTTATCCACAAAAAAAAAAAAAAAAAAAAAAGCCAAGAGTGGAGATGTGGATCAAGTGGTAGCCTTGAGCAAAAATCTCAGGGTATGCATCCAGGAATTCAAGTTATATATATTAGTTATGCATAGCCAATGTATAAATATATATATATATATATATATATATAAAAATAACATTTAAAAAGAAAAGAAAAGCCCAGAGAGGTACTTGAAAAATATTGAGCTATAGAAAATAGTACTTCCTAAAGTAAAAATTACTTTTGACCTAAACAGAAATTTCAGAGGCACTAACAAGCAGAAAAAAAACCAGTCTAATGAAAATAATGCTTTTTGTTTGTATAGCTACCTTTCTATGTAGCTTAAATACTTAAACTTTACTCATCTACTAAAATGCATTATTTTTTTAATATAATCACATATGAATTGGACACAATGGCACATGCCTGTAACCCAAGTACTGGGGAGACTGAGACAAAGATTTGAGGCCAGCCTGGTCTACATAGCAAGACACTGTCTTTAAAAAAAAAAAAAAAAAAAAAAAAAACAAGAGCTAAAGATACAAGAGGTAGCATGCATAAGGCCCTGGGTTCAATGCCCAGCTGGGGACTGAAAAAAAAAATCCTACCTTTAAGCTGAACAAATGAAGTGTTCATTCAAATGTTTACACTACTCAGATGTAACTCTACATATAAACTGAACTGAACACAAAAGAGGGAACTACTAAATAGTTATACTTCAGCTTAAAGTTGTTATAAGTAATACTACTTTAAATTACATCTTCAATATTACAATGAAGTCACAGACTTAGCTGGAAGCCAGATTATAAGTATAGAACATAAAAGTATAGAATACATAGCCGGGCACCAGTGGCTCACGCCTGTAATCCTAGCTACTCAGGAGGCTGAGATCTGGGGATCATGGTTCAAAGCCAGCCAGGCAGGAAAGTCCATGAGACTCTTATCTCCAACAAACCACCAGAAAACCGGAAGTGGAACCGTGGCTGAAGTGGTAGAGCACTACCTTTGAGCTGAAGAGCTGAGGGACAGTGCCCAGGCCCAGAATTCAAGCCCCACAACTGACAAAAAAAAAAGTATAGAATACAAACTTTTAAAATGTCTGTATGCACATTCAACATTTATATATATAAGGCTAAGACAGAAATAATTACCAACTGATGTACATGAAAGAATATATTAGATTTCTGAGTAAAAGAAGTGGGTGTGGTAATATAAACCAGTTCTGCTCATTTTCAACATTAAGTTATCTATGTTTCTGTGTCACTTAAGCCTTACTATTATATATATATATATATATATATATATATATATATATATATATATATATATATACAATATATATGAATGAATTCTTGATCAAAGGTCATATGCATGTTCAAGCATAAGCACAATCAAACCTGTTATTCTGAGATAGAAATTTGAAAATGATACTGTTTGATTTGTCATTGACTAGTATCAGGTTGGGTTTAGGTCTCATTTCTTCTACAGAATATGATTTAAAATGTATCTGTCAGGTGTCTACACATCTGGTTTAATCCTAACCAGGCTTCTCGAATCAGTAGCAAAAACACAATGTTGCTGCAGTTAGAATGCTCTATGTACCTACACACACAGTCACAACAGAAAAAACAAAAATTGCTCAATGTTTTTACATATTAATCTCCAACAGTTAGTATCATTTTGACAGTCAGTTACAGTTTTAGTAAGAAGATATTTACTTAGGAGTTATAACTAAACTACTTTAAGAAAAAAAAAAACAAACCCCCGCTGTCTCAAAGTCTATAATTTAGCAAAAGCATCTTGCTGATGAATACCTTTTGCAGTACAAGTTTCATTAGGAGGCATTGCCAACAGTCGGTCACCAGTCTGAATATAGCCAGCTTCAATTTTACCAGTCACACAAAATCCAGATCCCTGATCTGTAAAACATGCCAAAGTCTTATGATTCATAGAATAGAATATTTTAATGAACATCATACTAAATAAGGCATACTATTTTCATTTTTTTTCCTTACAAATAAAAACACTCCTATTTTTTCAAAGTGGTAGTCAGGTGTGGGTGGTTCATGCCTGTAATCCTAGCTACTCAGAAGGCTGAGATCTGAAGACTGGTTCAAAGCGAGACTGGGCAGGAAAGTTTATGAGACACTTATTTCTGATTAATCATCAAAAAGCTGGAAGAGGAGCTGTGGCTCAAGTTACAGAATAATAGTTCAGGAACAGTGTCCAGGTCCTAAGTTCAAGCCCCAAGATTGGTGTACATTTGTGCGCACATGTGCACACACACACACACACACACACACAGGCTGCATCTCATTCCTTTTTCAATACTTGTTGAATGATTGCTAAATATAACCATCTACTAAACACTGGAAATAAAGAGATGAAAATAGAATCACAATCTATAGGAAATTTACATCACAATCTATAGGAACTGTATACTAGTAAACAGATAAAAACAATTAAATTGAACTGAAACCAATACTACTTAAACAGAAAAAGATGCATCTAAGAATTTGCAATGGCACACTAACGATGTAGCTCATTACACATGCTGAGTATGTGCAAGGCCCTGGGTTCAAAGCCAGTAAGCCCACTCCTCACTCCCAAAACAATCTATAATGGTATGATGGGCATTTCAAAGGAACAGGAATAGGAATTTACCAGGTGAGTGTGTATTTGGGCTGGGGAAAATGAAGCGTTTGCTGACCCAGGAAACAGCATGTGCAAAGCCAAAACCGAATAGGAGTATGTGGAAAGAGCCAACATGGTTTGGAATCAGGAAGAAGAACTAGATTAATAATGAAGGAAAGACAAGACATGAGGCAACAGAAGTAGGTAAGGCAGAAATAATAAAAGAGGCCTCATAAATTATACTTACTGTTTGACCTTCACCTTGCATTAAGTAACTGGAAACCAACAAAAAAAAGTGACCTAATGGCATTTCTGTGTTACAGTGGAGGCTGATGGAAATGCATTTATTACCCACAAAAAGGGAATCAATTCAACAATCTGGAATAATGAATGACAAGGGTAGCGTGATAGGGTCACTGAAGGATAATGACAAAAGTGCATCCAAGTTGATCCACTAACTAGGAGTCAGAAAATTAAAGAACAAGACATATTTTTTCCCTTGGCGAGTTTCAAATGTCTACACAATATGGGTGGCAAAGCTGCACCCCAGGGGGCACCAGCATAGTATTCTAGGAACACTCTCCTATGGGAGTGCATGGAAGCAGGAGAGAAGATCTGGTAGAGGTTAAGAGTTAGAAAGTATCAAGAGATGGGGCTGGGAAGGTGGCTCAGTGGTAGAGCACTTGCCTTGCATGCATGAGGCCCTGGGTTCGATTCCTCGGCACCACATAAGCAAAAAGAAAAAAGCCGGAAGTGGTGCTGTGGCTCAAGTGGTAGAGCGCTAGCCTTGAGCTGAAGAGCTGAGGGATAGTGCCCAGGCCCAGAGTTCAGGTCCCACAACCGGACCCCCCCCCCCCCAAAAAAAAAGAAAGAAAGAAAATATCAAGATGCAAGTGGTAAAGAAACTATGGGATTCACTTTATAAGGAGCATTCACAGTAGAAGACAGCTGAGGAGCTAAAGCAGTTTCAGAGGCAGAGCATGAGAAGCTCACAGGACACAAGGAAAGATCACAGAAACCAAAGGAGAAGAGTTCTCAGGTGGACTTGTCTACCAGCAATAGAGGTTAACACTAAATAAAGACAGAAAGAGAACTGAAAAGTAAAGTATGCATTAACTTTTGAAAACAGAGCGCTGAGTGATCTTAGCAGTAATGCATGGGAAGAAGCAGAACAGGCAGAACCTAGCAAGTAATCTGAAGAGAGAACAGGAAATAAGAATGTAGATATTAATTAAAACTATCTCTTGCAGTTTAGATAGTGGGTTTTTTGGAAACCACTGCCATCTTCCCTCTACCAGCAGAACACTGGAAGCCAATAATTAGAATGATAGATTTTAAGTTTACTGCATCATTTTAAAAAGCACCTTCATTCATTCATTCGTTAAACATTTTCTAAGTTCAGGGCTGGTCTTGCAGACACACAAGATATAATGATTGTTCTCAAGACACTCACAAAACAAACAGCACAGAAGTAAGTACAATACTGTAAGAAAAATGCAGTGATAGGGTAGAGAGAGCACAGAGGGATGCCGTAGGACACGTGAGGGGTGAGCAAACCAGTTACCAATTTAGCACTATTCCGTTCCAAACCCATTTCATTGCCTGCTCAATGACAGTGGAGATTCAGGAGACAACTAACATCTTTACAGTAGTGGTTATTCCAACAAATGTGATATCCTTAAAATTTATTAAGTTCTTTTATTCTAGTTCCATTTTATGATTTTCTGGATAGGCTCTTGTACACATTAAGTAACATATATTCTTAGATATTTAATACTGTACCATCTCCAGTAGAGAAGTCTAAGCTCTTTCCATATTTATCCTTTTTCTCAGCCCTATGGTAACATGTAGGGTTTCTTCATATCTTATGGCTCCTTTTTTATCATAATTAGCAATTTTTGGTATTACATTTCCCATTTTACCCATATCTGTCTTCTACCTAGACTATTATAGATGGATAGCGCAAATGAAGAGAAGAATACCAAAACATGGAAACATGAGTAAATATAGTGGCAATACTGGTCCTAACTTAAGAAACAGTGAATGATCCACTTCGATTGGAGTGTATGGAAACTAAAAGGAACTAATGCGAGAGGAAAAAACACAAAGTTAGAAAGCAAAAGATAAGGTTTTCTTAATACTTAGCCAATGAAGATGAGATGGGAAAAGAAAAAAGAGTTTTCTAGGTAGAGGAGCCATGTGACTAGAACTGGGCATTTTAAGATTAACTTGATAGCTGAGGGTATAGCTCAGTGGTACAACATTTGCCTAGCACACATGAGGTCCTGAGTTCAAGCCTCACACCACAAGAAAAGAATGAATTAAGATTAATTTGACCAGTGTCAAACAGTATCAGAATAGAGAAGGGAGAAACAGAGAACAATAGAATAACTTTGATAAACAAGCCCTGCAGCACGTACCTTTGAAGACATCTGACACACATAATCTAAAAGGCTTGTCAATAGATCTTTGAGGAGGCCTGAAGGAATCTGGGAGAAAATGGCAAAAAGCAAAGTTGAATTTAAAGGGGCTGTAAATGTAGCTCAGCAGAAGACTATGTGATTAGTATGAACAAAAGAGGATCAATTTACAGCACCAAAGAAAGACTTGTTTTTACTCACTCCAATGAACCCATCATTGTATCCTCACTTCTACTAAATTACAGTTGGTAAGAGTTGTAAATAACTGATATTCATATACTTTATATTTATAAAACATATTTTGCCCCATGTTATTCATTTAATTTCCACAACAATCCATGAGGAAGGTAGGGCAGGCTCAAGCCTCAGAAGAAAATGAGTGTTAGTTGAAATATTGCACATCATTTCAAAACTGGTATCCTAATTCCTCTGACCACAAATATAATGCTTTCTTCATACATACCATTCATATGTTGTCTCTCATGAAGAACTCTAAATAATTTATTAGTAACTTTTAATGTATTGCAAACAGAATGCCAGAACACTTACCAATTTGTTCTAATAAACATAGTCCTTTATACCATTTCGTGAGCTCACTAGATTGAGATCTTGTGATTAGATTTTCACCACTGAGACCACTTGTAGGAATAAAAGCCACATCACTTTCCTAATTAAAATATTGAACATATGAAATTAATTACAATTGTTTAAACAAAAACTTAAAGGATTCATCATTACCATAACTGCACCAAAATTTCTAAAGCAACTATAACATGTTTTTCAAAAGCTAAGTGAAATATATAACTCTATCTTCTGAGGTGTCTGATCTAATAGTTTTGTTTCATTTTTGTTTTTATTTGTGGGAAATACAAAAATATACTCTAAAACACTCAATCATTTTTATCTAGTGACAGGCACATTACAGACTTTTGCTGGACAAACTTTTCTCTACCAATATTCTTTGTGATGTTATTTAGTATATGTAATGAGAAGATTTTCACCTCTATAAAATCTAAGCCAAATATTCAACATGTACAATTTCTAAGGTAAAATAGTCCAAAGAATATATTATATACATATACTAGGAAGAAATAGCAAGCAAAAAGGAGTTAAACACAGTTAATAAGATAAGAATATTAACTGGTTGTACAGTTTCCTTATATCAAGTAAGATGATTTACAGAAATAACTAAATAAAATTCTTACCTTAAAACCTGCTTGCTTAAGAAATTGTCCAAGTTTTCCAGTAATCTCTTGAAATCTTTCTTGTTGCCAATTAACCTGATAAAGATCCAACTTATTTTTAGAATTGTGCCTTCAGAATATAATATATAATATTTCTACAATAAACTATAATCAAGACTATAAGTATAAAAATCTATCAAATATAAAATCTGCTAAAATTGAAACGACCAACTAAAATTTAATCTTGATAAGGCCTAAAATTAATCTTTCCTAAAACAAAAAACTTACAACTGCTAATGTACTTAGAATTTTTAATATATATTAAAAGTGATTTTTGAATTGGGGAACAATAGTGATTTATTTATTTAACCATGCCAGAATCAACTATTGGAATAAAATAAAATTGACACTCGCCAGACTAAAAAAGTATTTGTAATATGAACTCATAATAATAATATGTAGTAATATTTAGGTGTAAATGTACTAATTAATATCTGAAACTTATCGAAATACATGATAAGTAAGATAGATAAATGAAGGGAGAAAGTAGAGAGAAAAATGTGATCAAAGCACTAGTAAAATCTTAACATAGTACACACAATATAGGTGTTTGTAATAAAATTCCTTCAACTTTTCTCTACATTTGAAATTGCCAATACTACAATGTTATAGGAAAAACTTTAAATACGCGTAATAATACTATAAAAGAACTACTAGAAAATGTAGGTATTTATCTGATCCAAGGGGAAAAACAATGTCTAAATAGAAAGTCAAAAGAATGTGTATTTGAATGTATGTTCAAATGAAAACCAAAGGAAGTGAGATTGTAGCTCAAGTGGTAGAGCGTTTGCCTTGAGCTAAAGAGTTCAGGGACAGCACTCAGGCCCAGAGTTCAAGCCCCACGACCAAAAAAACAAAACAAAAATGATTTTCACAGTTTCCAAAGAAAATATATTATTAATATTCATAAGCAATGAAGAAAGATTATGCTTTTAGTTGTTTCTTTTTGTTTTTTTGCAACCCTGTGTATGAACTCATAACTTGTGCTTGCTAAACAAACATTCTACCACTTGAACCACATTTCCAGTCCAGAAAGATTATGCTCTTTTTTACCAAATAAAAAAATTCTTATAGCTTTCTTAAGAAGGATTTTGGAAAGTAAATATATTATATGTTACATAAGTAATAACCACAACTTTTCTCAAAGGCATTTGAATCACATTCAGCAAATCTTAAAAGAAAGTTAAGCACATGCCTATACTCCTGGGGACTCAGGAGGTTAAAATCAGAGTTCAAAGTCAGTCCAGGTTGGCTTTATTTTCCAAAATAAGCAGCAAAAAGCTGGGTGGTCTGGTGGCATGGTTCAAGTGGTAGAGCACTAGCTGAGTGATTGTGAGGCTCAGAGTTCAAACCTTGGAATTGGCAAATTAAAACAAAACATATATGCCCTTAAGCTCAATGATTTTCACACAACAAACTACTTCTAAAGACACTTACACATAACACACAAACAATTGGAAGTCTTCAGCAGGATGGGATGATTGGAAATAAATCCTATCATTAAAACAGACTAAATTATAAAAGTAGTATCTTTATCCAAGACTTATTATTAGAAACATACATTATAATATTGATGTTGTCTTAAAAAAACAATGTTGTATTGGAAAAGATCTTTGTGTGTAAAAACTGGAAGGATGTACCAAATAATTTCATACTTCCATCCTATATTATTATTGTAATAAAAAATAATTTTTAAGTTCTGAAAATTAATTTTGAAAATGAGAAGATATTTTTGCCTAACAATTACTAATAAGTCATTTACTTAGCATAGGATTGTAAACACTTATTTTTAAGACAGAATTTGACTCATGAAAGTACTAGTCACATGGGATTCCACATGGCCAGAATAATATCTGAATTAGCACCAAAAACAAATTCTGATACCTGATCCATTTTATTGACTGCAACTGCAAGTTGTGTCACTCCAAGAGATCGGACCAAGAGGCCATGCTCTCGAGTTTGTCCTCCAGTCTCAAATCCAGCTTCAAATTCTCCCCTGCTGGCATCAACAACTAAGACAGCTACATCTGCCTACAGAAACCACAAACAAAACAAAATAAAAATAAAATTACTTTAATTCAAGGGACAAGTTACTCAACAATTTGATCAGACTTCAAATACAACTCCAACCTAAAACCAAACACCAAATGCAAATAACATGAGAACTGCACAGATAAATATATAGGTATGTGTGTATATATATTTGTGCCAGAAACTAAGGCTTGAACGCAGGGCCTAGACACTGTCCCTGAGTTTTTGTGCTCAAGACTAGTGTTCCACCACTTGAGCTACAGCTCCACTTCTAGCTTTTTTGGTGCTTAACTAAAGATAAAAGTCTCACCAACTTTCCTGCCCAAGCTGGCTTTGAACTGCAATCCTCAGCTCTCAACCTCTTAAGTAGCTACCAGCTGGGTTACATTTTTTAATAAAAATTTATATTAATATGTACTCACAGGATGCCAAAATAATGACATAAAGAAAATTGTATATTTGATTATTTAACAATTAAACAATTAACAATTAAAATATCCACGCAAATGGGAAAATATAAACAAAATTAGAACATAAGAAGGATGAATACTATCAACATATAAGTTAAAATACTTGAAAAATAAAAAATTCAACTTTTAAATAGTTCAAAAATTTTGAAATGTACTGTATTTTCAACTTCTAGAATTATAACCCCAGTATCAAATAAGTCATATAAATAAATTAGTGTAATTAGGTAAGAAAGTATCTGATACCTGGGCTGCTCCCGTAATCATATTTGGAATAAAATCTTTATGGCCTGGAGCATCCATTAATGTAATAACTTTGGTTGCAGTTTCAAACTTTGTCATGCCAACATCCATTGTCACTCCCCTTAAAACAAAACAAATACACTTTGTAAACAGTCATTGATACAGGTTAAATTCCTAAATAACAGCCTAAATAATAAACTAAATAATGAGAACCTTATTGTATTTATTTCAAATAACCAAGCTATCAATTGGGGACAGAACTTTTGGGGGTGGGGGGAAATTGAACTTTTTTGTTGTAATAAAAGTATGTGTGTCTTTAAAAGAGGCTGTGGATACAGCCTGAACAATTAAAATACTAATATTTCCCACTTCCTTAATTTTTTGTGAGAAATAGTGTAAGATGTGAGCAAAGAAGGGAATATAAGTCCATTTTAGAGAAAAATAAAGACTGCAATGAAAAAAAATATGAAAAATGACCACTCTACAAGGCAGGTTGCCCCAAGTTAGAAATAAACTCATAAAATTTTCATCAGAAAAGTTGGTCAGTATGTTACACATTGAGAAAACAGGTTAGAGATGCCTATTTTTTTTTCAAAAGCGGTAAAGAGAAATTATTTGCCTTCATCTCATTTCACTGTAAGACCAACAAAGTACCTCTTGTAAACCAGAAAAAGTTAAGGTTCAGATTATAAGAACGCCCAAGCAAAGTCTACAAGAATACTGCATCATGTTAGACCTGGGGAATCTAGACGGGGAAAATGTGGGCTACATAATGAAGAAGCATTTCCTTTTACTTACCAAAAAAAAGTCCTAATAGTCACTGTAATAAACTACAAGTTCAACCAAGACATAATACTTAAATTGCACTTTTCTCAATCTCTTTAAATAGATAGGTAGGAATTATTTACCTTTCTAAAATTAGTATCCTCTATAATTCTAATATACGCATTGTGTTCTCCAAAATATGGCCACTGTCCAACTAATTTTCTTATTAGGGTAGAATATAGGTTTGTAAAACTATACACAGTTCAAAAGATAGCTATATAAATATATAAATATATATAAATTGCTGTTTATCAAAAAACAAGGACCATCATAATCTGCTTCATGAAGAATTGTCTTATATGTAGGATGTAAACTAATACTATGAGAAAATGAATTTCCACCCAAAAGGCAGATAGACTTCTAATATATTAATCAGATGAAAGGAACTGAGGAATTCAGTTTATTATCTGCTAATTCAGAAGATCTTCATAGGTTGTTAGCCATCATTTTGAGATAGTTGGTACATCGGCCATTTCACTTTATTAAGATGCCCTCTGCTCCCTTATGCCATGACAACCATAAATCATGTCTATCATGGCTTTATAAAGACCTCTAAAAAATACTTTTCTTTGGCCAGAGCTATGTATCTATATTCTCCTGTTAGAATCTCTCCCAAACTAGCATTTAACATTGAAACAGAGGCGGAGTAACTGACTAGTTACCATCTATAGGGTAGGATACGTTTATTTTTGATTCTGTCTCATGAAAACATAGAAAGAACAAAAATGAATTAGGCATGGTATCTTGAAGTCACTGATCATTATGAACTCTACACAGAATCAAGTTTACCACAGCTGCCTTTCCTTCACAGCCTAATACTAAGTCTTACTCTAAATCTCAGCACTCAGGAGACTGAGAGAGGAAGATATAAGTTCCAGGCTGACCTGTACCACATATTAAAGACCATCACAAAAAACTGAAAGCAAACCCCAAACAATAAATAAAGTCTTACATCTCAAAATCAAAACAACTGGACATATACCTAGGAATGTGACAAGTGAAACTTCTCCCATAAAAAATTAGCTTTAGGTATTTGCTACCTCTGTGTGGTGATTTTGTTCTATTTTGCATTAGATAAACATGCCTTTCATCTATTCTCACAGATTTCAAACGAAAAAAAAAATGTAATTACAATGAGAAAAACAATAATTGACATTGTGTCAAACCAGTAATTTCCCTCATAAAACTTTTTCCTAAAGCACTTCATTGCTTTAGACCACATAATTTAGAACAACACATACTGCACAGTTATTTTAAATAATGGGACCATTTCAAATAGAAAATTCTGAAATATTGGGACTACCTTTCCCTTTCTTCACCCGTTTCGTCCAAGACCCATGCATATGCAAACGAAGCTTTGCCAGCCTTTTTAGACTCCTGTTCATATTTATGCATAGTTCTTTTGTTCACATTACCCAGAAGATAAAGCAAATGGCCCATCAGAGTGCTTTTCCCCGCATCAACGTGACCTAAGGAAAATTGATTCAAGATTAATAGTAGGTCCATATCTAGATATTGTTTGCATTGCAGCACTGCATAAATAAATACAATTTTTATTAAGTGACAGCTCAAACATCTAAACAGAGAATAAAAAGTAAATCTCTTTTGAGAGGAAGAAACTTTCCCAGTTTTGGAAATGAATTCTCTTTCATTTGCTTACAAAGTGAAAGTGCCACAAACCAAGACTAATGGCTGCCTTGGTAACTGGCATTATGTCACCAGGGTGACAGGAAGCATTATGATGCCATGCCTCCTTGTTTGCACATCACTACGCCCACAGAGGAACTCACTGTTCCCATGCCACTCCTGGGAGCTGCCAGGCCATCACAGAGCTGACTGAGACTCTGGAGGAAGGAAGGCCTACCAATGACCACTAGGTTGAGGAGCTGCTTCCCGCCTTGCCGCTTCTCCAATTCCACTTTCACATCAATCTGCTGCTTCAGCTTGCCAGACTTTTTCACTGACGTCGGCGTTGCGCTCTGCTCTTCGGACACTTGAATGGAGTGGGGTGGAAGAGCTGACTTAGAGACGGTGTCAAGACTGTCAGAAGAAATGATGCTGTTATCTTCACCAGGAGGTCCTTTCTGAGGTGTGTGGAGACCATGACCATTTTCTCTACAGAAAGATCAGAAAGCAGTGTTTAAAAGTATGTTGTATAGTGTCACAGGGACAGAGAATATGTTTCTCTCCATCATCTATGTAAACCAAAAAATGATCTCAGCCCAGTGGCTAGAGCCTACTGACAAGTAGCCAGATGCAAACCACACAAATACAGATTTGAGGATCCTGGTGGAAAAAAGCCTAACATGATCATGAGTTTGAGGCCAGCTTGTAAGTAAGAGGGAGGGAGAGAGAGACGGAGGGAGGGAGGGAGGGAGGGAGGGAAGGAAGGAAGGAAGGAAGGAAGGAAGGAAGGAAGGAAGGAAGGGTATGTAGGTAAGGAAGGAAAGGTATGTAGGTAAGGAAGGAAAGGTATGTAAGGAAGGAAAGGTATGTAAGGAAGGAAGGAAGGAAGGAAAGGTAGGTAGGTAATATAGGTAGGTAGGGAAGGTAGGGAAGGTTAGGAGGGAGGAAAGGAAGGTAAGGTAAGGAAGGAAGGTAAGGTAAGGAAGGAAGGAAGGAAGGAAGGGAAGGAAGGAAGGAAGGAAGGAAGGAAGGAAAGGTAGGTAGGTAAGGTAGGTAGGTGGGAAGGAAGGTAGGGAAGGAAGGTAGGGAAGGAAGGAGGGAAGGTAGAGAAGGAAGGTAGGAGGGAAGGAAGGAAAGAAGGAAGAAAGGAAGGAAGGAAGGAAGGGAGAGACAGAAGAGAGGAAAAAGAAAAAGGAGAGAGAGGGAGAAAGGAGAGGGAGAGGGATATCCTGAAAATAAGTACAAGACCTTTAATACAGTCAAAGCTAAAATAACTTTATAGACCACAGCCTTGGTTATATCATAATTTCTATCAAAATATATGGCATAAAGGAGACATTTTATATTTTTTAGAACTTATATCAAATAAGGCATTGTAAAAAAAATTTCTACTGACTCATTTTTTTGACAACAGAGCTATAACCTTTTTTCCTTGCTCAAACACTTAAGCTTAAATACTTCTAAACGTCTATACTTCCTGATTTTTTTTCTAAAACAGCATTAGTCCAACAGCCTTCACCTACTAAACCTTAGTGAATTGACTAGTTCAACAGACTTAATTTACTAAAAACTACAACATATACGATGCATTGCTTTAAGAAATGAACAAACAAAAAAGACAGAAATAAAACGTACAGTCTAGTGAGAGTCTGAGATACATAGGGCAGAACTAAGACCACCTAAGTACTTTCTCATTTCCGTGAGGACGCTGGTGCCTCCACAGGTGAGCACTGACCTCAGAGCTCCCTCAGCTCTTTGACCAATCCCTGCACAAACAGCATAGCTGCTGGCCCTGCACAGCTATGAAGAATGTGAGCTACTCAAGCAGATTGCACTCTGCCTTGCATTCCCTTTAAAACTATAAATAAATAGAATTAGGCCAGGAGCCTGTTAAATTGCATGCTGTTAAGAATGAAGCAAACTTGATCCAACTTAATGTGGACCAGGCACAGAGAAACTATATACAGAAAGCAGTTACACAAACCACCTAAGAGTAAAATGGAAATGGTTAGAAGAGGAAATCTATCTCCTTCTTGTTCACTGTTCATGTTTTCCCCCTCAGAGCAGTTTTACATGCTCAACATTAACTTTTTACCCTATATTTCCAGAGAAAAGCACTAGTTATATTAGTAACTTCATTTAAAAAGTCTCAAATATATTCTATTTTACCTCTTAAAATCTCCACTAATTTAAATGTTTCTTATTTAGCACTGCAACAATTTTAGACATTAAGATTAAAAAAAAATACTACTGTTTGACTTATAACCATTCTCCTCTATCAATCTAGAATTCTAGGTGAGTTTAATTTTATGCCATTGCTACAATGATCATTTTATTCAATAGAAAATCTAAAAGGTTAAATATTTTAGTTATTAAAATGTAATTTGTAATTCCATGGTTCACTGCCTACCTTTAACACCTCAGCCCTGCTTACCCATGCCATCTAGTGGTACAGATCCCCTCTCTCACAAAACTAAATTTCACAAAATCAGTTTAAGTAGCTATAAATGATTTATATGAGGAACTGACAGTGAGATGAAGTAATACGCATACAAAGCTATATTCAAGACAAACTTCCAATCCCTTCTCTTTTGTTGTACCATGTTACACTGAGGACACGGGACCTTCCCATGCCAATACATGCAAAACTGACATAGATTCTTTCTGACAAACTAAAGGAAACAATACTATTTCTCAAAAGTGGGGAGAGAGTCTTCAAATCTTACCCAGGCACTTCAAATCCCATAGTTTGCTTCTTTCCAGAAACAGTCATTTTAGCTACTTTTGGCACAATTTCAGATTCACTTCGAGATGACTGAGATCCTACTGATTTTCCTAATAAGGAGTAAAATAGAAAAGGCTAAAGTTAAGTTCTAAAAATACATCACATGTTTTATAGAATATAGATTAAGATTAATATGCAAAGAATTTATATCTTTTAAAAACACAGATCCTTTCTCTAAATCAGTGAGATATAAATGCTGAGAGCATTCCTATCAGCCATCCTGGGAAATACCCTACTGTCAAGACTCTCCTATACTTAACCTCTATCAAATCTCTTCCTAATTTCGAACTGACTGTTAAGTTTCAGTATTAAGAGGTCAGAAGGTGGTTTCTTCACAGAGCCTTATTCTAACATTCTACCTAAACCCTCTACTTACCTCATCTACCACACCCTTTCACAAGACTAAAATTGTCTGGTCAGTTAGCAGATGGTTAAACTATTTTAACCTTGTGAGATTTATACACTGATGAACAAGCTTTATTTTACTAGAACACAACTATCTACAAAGAATACAGGGGAAGAGGTTAATATAGAAAAAGTGAATTAAGGATATGAAGGATATATTACGAGCTAGATCAAAGTAAGACTTTTTAAATTTGATCTTGATATATGCAATTCATAGAATTTTTGTTTAACAGTTCTTGGATTTGAACTTAGGGCTTCAAGCTTGCTCTAGGCATGCTACCACCTGAGCCACACCCCTAGATCATTGAATTAAAAAAAAATGTATCCACATAATTTTCAAAACAGTACTAACATTATTAGAGTCACATAAAAATTATGGAATTTTGTATTGCTACAGTAGTAAACACAGAAACTACTAAATTAGAAAAGATAAATTACAGAATTTATTCAATTATGCTAGGTATTATGATAGGAATATAATAAGAGTACATGCACACTGCTGTAGTTAAGAGCTTAAAGTCTAGTTGAAGAAAACATTAAATGATCATATTATTTAAACTGTTACTATATTATAAAAAAATCATATGGACTGGGATCAGTGACTCTTGCCTATAATTATAGGTATCTGGAAAGTAGAAATGAGGAGGATTGGGGTTCAAAGGCAGTCTAAGAAAGACGTGCTTGATGTGGTGATACACACTTGTATTTTCAACCATGCAGGAAATATAAATAGGAAGATCAGTCCAGGCTGGCTCAGACATAAATGTGACACCCTACTCAAAAAATAACCAGAGCCAAAAGGTTGGAAACACACGAAAGCTCTGAATTCAAGCTCCAGTACGATGATGATGATGATGATGATGATGATGATGATGATGATGAAGAACAATAATATATGGTGATATAAGATCTGCTAACAGGGCACACGGAAGAAAGTACTGGAATTAAGACAAAAAAAAAATTAGTGTAGAAAGGAGGAACATTCCATACACATTGCATAATGGCCTTAAGGGTAGGAGAAGACAGAAAAGGGGCTAAGATGCTAGAGAAGTAGGAAAGGCCAGCCATTCAGGACTCATAAGCCATACCAAAGACCTTAATGTTTGTTCCACAGATCTGGATGCCAGCAAAATGAGGACAGTAAATAGTAAAGAGAGAAAAGAGAAAGGACAGGAGAACATAAAGGCATGTTTGGGATGGGAAGGGCCAGCTCAAAGGCAAGGGTTATCTGGATCAAGTAAGCTCTGATAACCAAGGAAGATAATACAGGAGTAGGAAAAATACTGGCACTAGGACAAAGTCTTAGAGAAGCCCAGCATTTAAATGCAAGACAAGATGACGTACCTGCACCAAGAACAAGGAGAACTGATGGTACAAGGGAAGCTAAGGGAACAGTGTATGATGGATCTGACAATGATGGTAGTCTGAAGACAGGAGGGCTGAAAATGCACTGGCGAAATGTGATAAAGGTCACTGCTAGAGTTAGCAAGAGCCACTGGTAAAAAGAGAAGGAAGCAAAAGCCAGAACAGGTTAAAATACAGAAGACAGGTGAGAAAACCAGCAGAAGTGCATGTCTATGATCTCTTTTCTATAATTTCCAAGTCCACAAGCCCTAAGTTAATAACTCCCAGTTGGTTTTCTTGTTTTGCTTTTGCTTTTTTGGGAAAGTGTCTTAGCTACATTGGTCAAGGTAGTCTAGAACTAACTAGTTAGTCCAGGCTGGTCTAGAACTGACTCATCATCCAGGCTGGTCTCATGATCCTCTGGCCTGTGGCTTCTAAATGTCTTCTTGGCTCACCCAAGGAATTAACTCCTTTAGAAGCAAATCTGACATGGACTGAGACTATGCATCATGTTGTCTTGTCATATTTAAATTAAAAAGCTACATATTTCAGAGTGAAAATAGCTATATTTGATAACAAGGCACTCCTTCACAACCACCTGAGGCCATTATGTCACACATGGTATGGACTTGAAAATGTTTTTCCAAATCTAAAATATTCTGAATTTTAAATCAAATCCAATCCATGGCTTTAGATAAGAAACTGTAGATATAAGAAACTTTTTAAGTTTGGCTAGAGAGTCATATGGTAATGGTAATGATAGAAGAGAGATGTAAAATGAAACTAAAGAAAAAAGTGAGAGGAATTAGTTGAATACATTAAGGGAGAAAAAACAGCATTTTAAGAGTTTCTAGAAAAGAAGGAAGAAATAGAAACTAAGAAATAGAAACTACGACTGGGAAACGGCTCTTTTATAACCAAGATTGGAACTCAGAACCAGGTACTTGTGAAACAGGTACAGTCGCTCTCAGTCTGGAAAAAAAGTTTTTTTTTTTTACAAAATAAGTCAATTTTGTATGTTTAGTGAAAGATGACAATTCCTGAAGGCAGGCTTCTATTTTCTCAATATAGCAGCTAAAAAAATTAGAGGAATTTATGTTCTCTTGGCCCAATTTAAGTTCTGTGATTATGCATTTATGATAGAACTACTCTGCTTTCTGCCCTTCTCCAGCAATGTCCAGTCAATTTAGGAAAAGGCATTAACAGTGAAGGCATTGCCTGCTTCATGAGGAATTAAGAGTCTACCCAACAGGTGCAAATAAGAAAAAAGGTTTTGAACATACTGCAAAGATATCCCAAAACAGTACTGAAATGATTAAGGATCAGGAAATTGAAAATGAATTAAATGGTAACAGAATAATGACAGAGTTGGCAAAAAGTGATAGTATGTGCATGAGTGACTTTTCAGGAGAGGTAATTATATGGAATTACTGATGAGAGGTCTTCGAAGGTCACTGACAGTCAATGAATGGAAAGTCTTGGTTGTAAAGGGGACATGATACACTAGTTAAGACACATTAGTTAAGCTATGGTCAGGAAGAAAATGGTAAGCCAGCAGCCAAAGTCTCTGAGAGTAGACAGGAGCCTGTCCCATAGATGATTGAGAAATAATTGTTTTAAAAAGGCTGATTTCAGGTAATAGAAAGCTAAAAGGTGCAGGTGTAAGGGAGGAAAAAATATGGAGTAGTAATGATATTGGAAGGGCAAGAATAAAGTTGACGGGCCCACATAGTTGATGGTCCATGCTCTGAGGCTTGCAAGGCAATGCTGGCACAGAATGGAAAAACATTAGGAAATAAACAGTTTGAGACTTAGAGGAGTGAGCTTTCATGGGAAAAATTTTTTTTTCTAGAGGTATACAAAGGTAAAGAGTGACTGGAGAGGGAAAGAAATAATTGGATGATAACAAAGGAGTAGACACGCTAAGTAAAATAAGGACTTGGTCTGTCATCCTAAGAAAGAATAAAAGAGGACAAGAGGAAGGAAGGAAGAAGAGATAGAGGAGGGAGGGAGAGAGGGAAATGGAAGGAAGGAAGGAAAGGTCTCAATCCAAGTTCTACAGACCTACTTCACATTTCCTATTATGGTTCACTTTTAATATTTTCCAAATATTGTCATGTAAATATTTCTTGATTTGCAGAGATACATTAGTTTTGTGCGGGAAGGGGTATCTGTAAAGACCCAAGATGCAACACTGCAAAAAACTGATTATGTGAAAGTAGATGGGAAAAGACCATTATACCCACTAAAGTGGTGGTTCCTTAAAACTTTGTTTTTGTTTTTAGGTCAGGTATGTCTTTAACCACAGGGGCTAGGAAGGTGGCCCAGTTGTAGAGTGCTTGCCTTCCTTGCATGAAGCCCTGGGTTCAGTTCCTCAGCACCACATAAGCAGAAAAAGCTGGAAGTGGTACTGTGGCTCAAGTGGTAGAGTGCTAGCCTTGAGCTGAAGAGCTGAGGGCCAGTGCCCAGGCCCAGAGTTCAGGCCCCATGACCAACAACAACAAAAAAGCTAACCATAAAAAATAAAAACCGAGCAAGGCACATTCTTCAGGAAGAATGTACCATACAAATACAATTTTGTATGCTTCATGCAGGAAATCTGATTCTAGAATCATCCTTTTAAGAGATAACCTGGCCCAGGCTATTTTGGAAACACATTAATTCAAATTAATAATATCCACAGCCAAAGATAAAAATCTATATTCAGTTATCCACTGAGCTATTGCTGCTAGCAATGCAATGTACTTTGGATTAACTTCCCCTGCCATATTACAAAACAATGAGCACCTGATGGATGGCTGACCCAGTCAGAATGACCTAACCACTAAAAGTCATTAGCCACAGATCAATAAGAGACTATTTTTTAATCATCCTCCACTGAGCTAAATCCCCAGCCCCTTTAATCACATTTTTAACATAAAATGTACACGCTCTTCTTTCATCCTTCCAGCCAATTCACTTGTTAATACCCAAACTGTCATTCAAATTCAGTAAGTCTCAAAATGAGCTCCAGATATTAACTATAGGAAGCCTGGAATCTAAGCCTGGCTTGTTACCTAACAGCATCCAAACTTCACTTTCATCTGAAACTTTTCAGAGGTGGTCTAGGGGTTTTTGTGGCACTAGGGATCAATCCCAAGGAGTTATACTGCACCACACCCCCACCCTTATCTGAAGTTTCATGTTATAAAGTTTCTACTTTATTCGATATTAACTGAATTCAGTGATTTCTAGTTCTGAAAATGTATGTATCTATGCCAAATCACTATGATAGCTGCTCTTTATATCAAATAAGCCATTA